TTAAGTAGTTTAGGCAACATTAGGATGAACTTTTCCTCCTATAAAGCACCTCTAATTACCTCATTGGAATTAAGAAGATATGATTAAATTATTAACTTTATTTGAAAAAAAAGCAAACAATTAATTTTACCCCTATTCAAGTGAAAAATTTTCAAATTTACATCACATTCTCTTTCATAGTTAATGAATTTATAATTATATTTTTTTAAATATTACCTATTTAAAAATATTTTTGAATCAATTCCTTAATTTTATAGTGATATTAAGTACCCCCAATGATCCATGATTGTCATTCTGATCTGCTTTGGCAATGGAAACATAATAAATGTGCAGCTACTCTTGTTTGAAAGAAAAGGACATCTTATAATTTCTGTAATCAAACGGTTATTTAAGTGTCAAAATGAGTGATGAAGCACCCACCACACATATTACTAAAATTTTAATTCTGGACCAAACAGAAAATGGTTAGGTCTATATGCATTTATTAATAACCCAAAGAGTTCAAATTAGATATGTTGAAAAAAGATTGGAATCGATGGAAGAGTTAAAATTCTGGTCTCAAAATATGATAATAATAATTACCCTCATATGGGCCAATAAAAATGGTTAAGATTAGCTAAATTAATTAAAGCTGTGGAAATAAAATATACTCCCTCCTATTAATATTACAAGACATTTTTAGCATGAGTGGTTGATGCTCTTATCACTTGTCAATTCCTTAAAGTTTTTATTTTGGACAGGAGGGAGTAATCTCTATCAATCAAATCCTTAAAAAATTTTAATTATACATAATAGGTCCTTATGATTTGAAGAGAAAACAATATTAGAAAGACTATACGTGTATGCAAGGGTGGAGGCAAGGAAGACAAGTGGGATCCACGGCCTTAACATTTTATTTTTTTAATAAAATATAGAGATTATATATTTTTGACCCTCTAAATTGGTACATTATAGAAACTTGAAGATATTTGATGGAATTATTATTTTAATTATATATGTACATGTGTAGTACAATTGCTTTAATAGCTTAAAAATATAGCTGTCATTACTTACTATGTTTAACAAGATAATGCTACATATACTCTTAAGTCATTGATGTGATTTGTTTTTCCTTTCATTTTATATTTGATAAAAAAAATTATGAGAATTATTATTGACAAACTTTGTCAAGCATTATAACTAAAATCTCAAGATATATTGAATGTTATTTGCTTAATATCTACCTTCAAATCACTTCTTTAAAATAATTAAATAGTAAATTCAGTAATCAAATGACATAGCTTCTTAGATTGAACACATCTTTGGATATACATTTAAATTATACAATGTTCAAAAGGAAGATGACATTTTTTTTCACCAATTTAATGATAATTTATAGTGGGAAATTACTGAAAAATTTATTATAGACATGATAATTAATTATTTTTATGCCATGAAAAATCAATGAAAAAAATTTAAAAAATAAGGCACATATTTATTTGTTTATATATCTGTAAAATTATTATTGAATATAAATATATACATTAAAATGTTAAAATATGTATCTTTATATTATATTAGTGATATATATAGACTTAACTTTTCTTCAATTATTATATATATTTTGTCATCCCAACCTCTCCTAATTAAAATTTTTGGCTCTGGCCCTGCCCCTGTTATGGTTTTGAAAATTTAAGGATGAGATTCATAAATATTAAATTTCAAGGACAAAATTAATAATCGGATCAAATTTAAAGGAAGAAATTTCATGGGAGAATTTCAGCATAGACCACAAATGAGATTTTATTTCAAATGAAGCCCAATAGATTCTGAAAATTCATTATTGAATTAAGGGACTTAATTGAAATTAAATTTTAAAAGGAAATAACCATAATGCCTTGTATTTTTTTCCCCCTAAGAGAAGTCCTCCTTCTCTCTCCTTATCGATCTGGCCGATGGCCACGGCAACATCCTCAAAGAAGCTACTAGTTGTTGCTGGAAAGCTTTGGTTATTGGAGTTTAAATTCATTAATCCGTTATGATTTGGTTGTCGACTTCTTTAAGACCTGTGTTCAAATGCCTTCTTGTTCTTCTCCATCGATCTGGTTATTAGCATGTTTATTAATCCTTACTGAGTTAATTTTTGAGATTTTGATTGCTGTTTGGAGATTCAAATTTTCTTCTGCGTTTCAAATATGTTCTAGATGGGGAATTTTTTCTTTGATTTATGTTTGGTTTAGTATGTACTAGTTTCGGTTTTTGCTAATCTGAAATTATCTTTAACTCACTAAGTCGCCATGGTTGTCCAGGCGCTGCTATGGGGTGGTCCGGTGGCTAGCGGTTGGTTCCTGCAAGGTGGACATTTTTCCAAAAATAAAATAAAATAAAATAAAGGGCATTATAGTCATTTCTCTTCAAAACTTGGTTTTTTTTTTTCGGCCTAAATCAAAACTTAGTTTCAATTAAGTTTTTTGGTCTTGTAGGAAATTTTCAGAATTTATTAGGCCGGATTTGAAATAAAATTCCATATGTGATCCTATATTGAAATTCTCGCAAGTTTCATTATCGCCTAAATTCAACATGATTGTCATTCTGCTTTCGTAATGGAAACATAATAAATGTACTTAAAATGAGATGAAGTACCCACCACACATATTACTCAAATTTTAATTCCGGACGACATAGAAAATCATTAGGTGTATATGCTTTTATTAATAATCCAAAAAGTTGAAATTAGATATTTAGACAAAAGATTGAAATCAATAGAAGAGTTAAAATTCTGGTCTCAAATATAAGGTAATAATAATTACCCTCATATAGGCTAATAAAAATGGTTAAAATTGGCTAAATTAATTAAAGTTGTAGAAATAACAAATATCCCTCTCATTTATATTATAAGACATTTTTTGTATGAGTAATAAAGACTCTCATCATTTAAGAAAGTTGTTAGGGCTTGAATTCTAACACTAGTATATATAGCAATTTAGTTGAGAAAAGTTTACCCATTACATACTTTCAGTACTTTGAGGGTAGATATTCTTTATGGCAAAGCCCACTCCTTATACTTACACAAACAGAAAAAAATAAACATATTATAAATCACCGATAAAGTTGAGATGTCCAAAATTTTGATTTAACTGATACTTCTTCCCATCCTTATTATAGGATAAAGTTCAAAAATTCTATTTGATCCAAAATACAAGGCAAAAATATAGTAGTTAATTTTTCTAAAAAATTGAAAAGTCTGACTTTTTTTTTTTATTACAAGTGCAAGGATATTAATTATCATTCCTAAAAAACTATAAAGGTGATCAACTTTACCCATTAATTAGGACGGGATGGAGTATGCTCGCTAACTATTGTAATTGCCTGTGATCTGATGCAAGGAGGGCTCCGGTTTTCTTAAAGTACTTTCTAACTTCTAGTAAACTTGTCTAACTATTTGAAAAAATACAACTTGGAATATATTTTTCTTGGGTTTGCTCGCATAGGGGATTTCAAGGAAACATTTTTTTTACAAAAAACTTCAATTATTTAAAAAACATCCTTTAATATAGTAAAGAAAAAATCATTGAAAATTTTTTGGAGCCTTTTACAAATTAATATTGAAACCAAAGGAAAAGGTACGGTCGAATAGGCATGAAAAGCAAAGAATGGTAGGTGGCCATGCATATGGTTTTTGAACCAAATGGTCTTGACCATAATTAAGAAAAACTTCAAAATTTATTAACTGTCTAAAAATATAATAAGTTTTAAATTTTGATCCTATTAAATATATATATATATATATAATTTAATAACATATTTTCTCTCACTAATATTTAATATAGGGTAAAAGAAGAAACTTGTATTAAAAAATTAATGACGTAACTTATAAATAGAACTAAAACAATTCCTTCCTTCTATCTTATAAATAGGATTGGAGGGAGAATCTCTTTCTTTAACTAAAGCAAGTTATTGGCATGTGTTTAATTTTTATACAACACTTTATTATAATAAATAATTTCAGTGAAGTGCAAAATATAAGTCACACATTAAATTTTCTGTAAGTTTAATGTATCAACCACATCTTAAAAACTATAAATTAGTTAATTATAATTAGGGCAAGATGGAGTTTGATGCAAGTGTACGAAATTACATGTGTCAGGGATGACGTCAATTTGAAGACATAAAATAAATGAATGTAATTAAAAGTCACAACTACTCAGCTTAGCTATGTCAGGTTGGGTGGATATGCCATGAAGAAGGGTCCTTAATTAGCCAAGACTTGAAGTTGACTTGACTCCTATTTATACGATGCACAGTATAAGGTGTCAAGCACTTCATTGCGCAAGTTTTACAACTTGAGTCGTGATCGATCTCTCCCATAATTCTGCTCTTCTCTTTGATCATTTCCTCAAGTTCAATAATCAAAACCATCATCAGGTTAGTTTTTGTCTCTTTCCCTTACACTTGCTAATTTTGAAACTCAACAATAAGATTTGATTACGGAGGAAACATTAATGGATCAGAAACATGCATCAGAAACAAGTCGTATATTGGAGATTATTACGGAGCTTTCACATTAAGATATGTTGTTGAGTCGAATGTTCTAGACTTATGTGCGCATAAAAAATCTAGCAAAATTAATCCATTGATAAAATGTATCTTTTTGATATTGTAGATTATGGAGGAAACATTAATGGAAGTTTACAGATTATTTAAGTAATTTCAACATGATAAGAAGTTGCATAAGAAACTAGTCAAAATTATTTTCTGCTAATTATGTAATATTTCAAATAGGAGTTGGATAATGAACATAAAACAAGTGAATCAACTACGTAACTCAAAAACGAAGATCTTGCAGAAACAAAAACCAACCATTAAAGCTTCTCACGAAACCAATATACCATTTGATGATGATGTATGTTATAGCATAGAAGACTATTTATTTCTAAGTTTAATCAATATAAAATATGATATCTTATTACTACTATGTGTTATTCAGGGTATGAATCTCATACAAGAAGGTCCTGCTTCAGAGGACGAAAAGGGAGCAACTATGGTAGCTGATTTAGTAGCAAGAAGCTCATCTTCAGAATTTATCACTCCTCTCCAAGAAGAGTTCCAATCTATAGCTAAACATGTACCTTTTTCTCTATTCATTGCTTCTTTTAGGCTTTGATACTGTTGGAATCAAGAAGAAAATGATCAGAGAAAAGATGGTTGTTGTATTAGTGAACTCTTCACAAAATATAAAAGGGTCTGAGAATTCTAATTAAACCACTTGATGCTTACATATCTTTTGGTACTTTAACAAAATGTTGCTGAAAGCTTTCCAATTGTTAAAACTAGCTGCAGAATGGTTCCATCTACATTTGTAAGCTTCATTACATTCATTTTAAACTTTATTATTTATACCAACAAATTTATACCCCATATCTAGCCTCAACTTCAGTTTGATTGTTTATAAATTAACATGTTTATAAGAAAAGAATTGAATATTGAACAAAGAAAATATCCATGAACTAATGAAGTTCGGTGAGGTGAAATACTTAATTCCATCTCTTGTGATTCAGACTTATGAAGAAATTGAGAAGGACATTGGAAGAGTAGTTCCTGATCCTTCTTCAGAGTTACCAACAACTTCATCCTTTCAGGTGATCAAAAGGGAATCTCTTACCTCTTTACATGCAGACATACATACCTCTATATGTATATATCCCATCACATAAAAAACTTGCAAGTTTATTTTTTAAATGGATTCAGTCAAACTATAAGGGATTTAGAGATTAGATTTAGAGATTACCAACAACAAAAAGAATCTCATCTAATGGGATAAGGGTTTGTTATTATTGTTGTTGTTGTTGACAATCATTATTTACTAACATTAACAGGTCAAAGCATGCTGCGTAGTGGTAATACCCCATCCGGTTCTAAATATAATTCTTATTTAAGGGTTCGAGTTTGGTCCAAAATATTAGAATTTTTTATAGTCTCTTATATTAAACTTTCCTTTCATGTAATCTCCTTGTTTATTGGACATTTTTATCTCTATGAATTAATTAATTTTAATATTTAAATGGAAGGGGTAATCACAAATTCTCTAATATTAATTATAAATAATTAGCACATCTATTTACAAATTACTTAAGAAGACCTTATATATTTAGGACAGGAGAGGGTACTATTTTTACTTGAGATGCCCAATAGTGTCTAGGTCCCAAGGCAATTGAAGAAAGAAGACATCCAAAAAAAAAATTGTACCTTATATATGTTTTTCACGTCTATAAAAACATAGGCTCATTTGATGCTTCCATATGGACAAGAAAAAAAAAAAGTATGTGCAATGTATAACGCCACTTAGAGTACACTTGGTGCAATAAATGTCAGTGATGATCAATGAAGGACTTAGAGATATATCTTATTTATAAAATATTCCTTTTTTTACCAGAGAATGAAGAGAATAGAAAGTGGTTTAAAAAAACCTGATTTGTTGAGCACCATGAAAGCTAAGCTAGATGAAGTAGAGTATTTGGAGTTCCCCATAGAGTTTCCCTTAGCATCACATTGCAGCATCTATAGAGTGCCACCAAGACTTCGAAAAGTGAATGAAGATGCCTACACTCCTTCCTTGGTTTCCATTGGCCCATTTCACCATGGAGACCAAAGATTGGAATCAATGGAAGACATCAAATTGTGGTTCCTCAAAAAATTCTTGAAGAGGAATCCCAAGAAATCTTTGGAGGATTATGTTGATGAGGTAGGAAAGAAGGAAGATGAGATTCGACGATGTTATTCAGAGATCATACCAATGGAGAGCAATGAATTTGTAAGCATGATTACAACGGATGCTTGTTTCATCATTGAATACTTTCTTACATGTCAAGGTCCGAGATATAGTGACTCTTGGCGTCCAAAGCATTGGCCAAATTCTGACATTGCACTAGACTTGATTTTGCTTGAAAATCAGCTACCATTCTTTGTTCTTAAAGACCTATTTGACTTATTCCGCCCAGAAGAAGAAGAACTAACTACTTGTTGGGACAGCACAAGTAATCAATGTTCATTTCTTGAGGTTGCCTTCGACAATATTAAAACACTCCTACCCGAAATAGTTCCTAATGCAACACTCCTTGAAGATTATACGTTCAAAGATTTTGAACACCACCACCTAACTAACAATGATATTGAGCCAGAGCAGGTGAAGCACTTGTGCGATTTACTAAGGATCTTCTACTTACGGTTTGATCGACAAGAAAGAGAACAAGGTGAACATCCGTCACAACAAAGAGAACAAGGGTGCAAGATGTGTAGTAAGCTAAGATCCTTTTGCTTTCCATTTCATCCACAACAAAGCAAACATTCGTCTGAAGAAAGAGAACAAGGCTGCAAGGTAAAGTTATGTGATAAGCTAAATGCCTTTTGCTTTCGAGGTTGTCCACAGCTAAGAAGAGAATATGAACATCTACCACAAGAAGCAGAACAAGGCCGCAAGATGATGAAGCTTGCCTATTGTGCAAGCAAACTACATGAAGCTGGAGTTGAATTTAAGGTTAATGATGGCGCAAGCTTTAATCAGCTGCGATTTTCAAGGGGAGTGCTAAAAATACCAAGTATTTGCATAACTGATTTGACCGAGGTTGTGATCAGAAATGTGATTGCGTTTGAGCAATGTCACCTTCCTGAGACAGTATTGACAAATTACATAATCTTCTTGGATGATCTTATTAACAGTGAAAAAGACGTTGAAATGCTTGTTGAAAAGGGGATCATGCGCCACATGCTCGGTGACAACAATGCAGTGGCTTCCATGGTCAACAAACTCTGCGTCAATGTTGAAACCAGTCCAAACGACGGCAGTTATCCCTCTCTAGGTGAAACTTGTAAACATTTGAACATGTATTATGAAGACACTTATCACAAGCATAGAGCAATCTTTATGCATGAATACTGGGGAACTCCATGGAAGAAAACATCTTTGTTAGCTGCAATTCTACTGCTTGTTCTAACTTTAACTCAGACAGTATGTTCTATCATATCCCTTACATAAGTATATATGTCTCGTGTAATTGTGTAACATTTGAAGTCTATCTTATAAATCGAACTTTAATTTGCTAGTTTACTGATTTCCATATGTCCCGGTCCTGTTCACTTTCAAATGCAAATTAATTAGGTACGCAAATAAGTATAAGTATTGGATTTCAAATTTCTTATACCCAGTAATGTTCAAATGTAATCTTGTCGTTATCTTACTATTTAGCTGAAGAAAAAATACCTCCTTGATACTTGCTAGACTAAGATACAAGCAATAACATAAATAATAACAATAATAAAAGAATAGTTATTATTTGTCATACCCTGAAAATAAAACGTGACTGGCATAAAATATAGGAGCAATATCCATATCCCAAAAGCCGTAACTCAATAACACTATAATAACAAAAATAAGCATATAATTTTTAATACTTAAATATGTAATTAACATAATTCGATAATCTTACAATACTTTTTATATAAGCTACAAATCACCAAACTTCTTGAGATATTTTGACAGACTTTCCCTAAAAATAAAATCTCCCAAATTTCTACAACATCAATTTTAAAAAGCGAGCTTTACTCCTCAACAATAGACAAATAACACAATATAAGGATCAAGACCCTAATTATAGTTTATGTGAAGTATCTAATTATATTTTCAAAACATAATATATAAATTTCATAATTACATCAAAAAATAGGGTTAAAGTACAAATTTACCCCTGAAGTTTTTTTTAAGGCGCATGTGGTATCCTAAAGCTTACACCAACCATCCGACCACACTTAATGGACTCTTGCGGACTCGTGCAATGCACCACACACAGTCAAAAACACTTATCTCATAAAATCACCACTCAACCCTGATTTTTACAAAACATAACAGGGGAGGAAATGTTGCACAAAACCAACAATTTCATTCTAAATTTCTCAAAATACATATGTTTCTACTTGTACAAGTATTTTGGCTCTATCTTCGGGTTCACAACCAAAACTCACTAACCTAGGGCACAAAATACACTACTTATAAATAAAATCATGCAAGTAGTGCATAAATCATGTCAAATAATCCTAGTTGGCAATTACATTAATAAATACACATGAAAGTAACAAAAGAGAGGCATTTAGAGGATTACTCCACAAATCCTAGGACTCTGTATGTTTTCCCTAACTTAGATTCGATGAGCTAGGTCCTAAAAATATTGAGAATTGAGGGGTGAATACAACCACTCAGTAACTAAGTTTCACTTAACCCATACAGTTGCATATCAATTATAGATAGATGCAATTAGGCAAATAAGCAAATAATACTCAGCCACGGTTCACAAAACTAACAACCATGTGACTGGGCTTGCCATAAAACACTTTATCACGTAATTCAGTAAAAACATAACATAGGGTCACAAAAATAATAACCATGCGCCCTTAACACATACTAATAAAACTAATAACCATATGGCTGGACTTATATACATGATCATATGCTAACCTTATATCTTCCTGTTATCTCTGACATGAAATCGGTGGCTATCAAGTGGCTACATCCTTCACGGACTAATCCAGCCTTTCACTTGTGAGGAGCTACTAGGCCAGGGTGAACTCACTCACTTATGTAATATGGTTTTCCCCAATACTAATAACCATAAGGTGTCATACCCTTAATCTAGCCTTTTTATGAATTGATAGAGACTAGTTAGGTTCGAGTCTCTCATAGAACAAGTGGGATAGTCCCGAATCAACCATGGGACAAGGGCTACCTCCCGATTCCAACAATTGGTGCCAAGGCTAGTTCTTTATTCCAACGGTTACTACCAATACCATGTGGATTTTCAACCAATCTACTCCTTTCCCTATACGAAATCCCGCCAATGATCATGCTATGCACATTTCTCACATAATATGTATTTAACAATCAATTCATAATACATGCACTCACATAGCTCAATACTCCACAATTCAACACATAATATATCACAATTCTCTACCTAATAATAATAAATCATAATCAATTTCACAAAACATCAAGGGTGGCAAAATCAAGGTTTTCTTTCCCAAAAACCATTTCACAAATCAAACACCTTGCCAATATGCATCATCAATTTAACTCATAAATCATATTTCACAAACTTAATTAACATTCAACTATATTCCCCCGGTTACCTCAAACCTTTGAGAGGTTAAAGGTTTACCCGTCACTATACCAACTTTCCAAAGCTTCAACAAGCTTGAATGGTGCCAAAAATGAACCTTTCTACATCTATATCACAAGAATATCATCATTATCTAACTCTTGAAGCTTCATCAACATAAAACTCCACACACTCTATTTTTATCAACTTATAATCACTACCTATTCATACCCAATGGGCTCATTAAATTCCATTAATGCACATTATCATTAACAACACCTCAAACCATCATTAATGCACATTAATCTCTCCCAATTACCTCATTTATACAATTTTTTGGATAATAAATGCTCTTATAGACCAACCATTTCTAAAATCATCAATGTGGTGTTCCAATACATTAAACAACTCCCATTATACTTATTTTAACCAATGGAATCAGACCCATACTCCTATAGACTGAAAATCCATCTCCCAACTCAAACCCTACCATAAATCATCATAAATGAGGGAGAGAAAGGAAGAATGAGACTTAGATTACCTACCTTGGGTGTTTGGGAGCTTCAAAATGTCAATAATGGAAGCCAATATGCATGCCCTAGCAGAGCGCAGCGTTCTCTTCTTTCTTCTTCTCCTTCTCTTTTATTTTCTCACATAGATGGGATCTGATTTATTAGAAATTTTGCCCGTGCACCATAGTGCACGCTGCCCTCCTCTGTAGTGCATGGCACAGAGGAGCTTATTACATTTAAATTGTCTCTGTGTGCCACGGTGGACCAACCATGAGCCTCGGCATGTGGCACAGAGAACGATTCTTCACTTTTTCTTCCTCTTTCCTTGCTTGAGTGGCCCGCCATTGATTCAGACCCACTTTTAAGGTTGAAATCACAACAATGATGCCAACTTAAGCCCCTTTGGCCACACATCTCATTAACTCACTAATTTCCCTCATCAAGTAAATAAACTAGGGTTAAAGTTTCCCAGATGTTACATTAGTAGGGTAGGAGACATTGACACCATCTCCAGGCAGGTAAATCCTCCTAGAACCCTCTATAAAAGCTTGTGAACCTCTTGACCTTGTGGATCGTTTGATCTCTATCTCATTGGGAATTGGTCCTCTTGTCTCAGGGTTTGCATAATATTGCATATACTCAACAAACGTCCCTTCTTCAATCACCATCTCAGAACTTCTTCCAAGCTAATGTGATGAAAATGATATGATTACTATTAGTGATTTATATTTTTTTCCACAAAAGCATGAAAATTTAGAGTCATGAAAGACTTACATTGTATATAGTCTTGCCAGTGTCTTCATTATTAAGAATATCTATACCTGACTAAGTTCTTAGCCTATACACACTCTTAACAGACCTAGGATCTTGAGAATGCTTAGTTGGAGTGGGCTCACTTATACCTTTTCTAGCAACAAATTTGGTTACTTGTCTAGGTTGAGAATGCTGCGTTGAAGTGGGCTGACCTCTTTATTTTCTTCCAGAAGTTGATGGGGTTAGAATTGTCTATGACTCTTGTGTGGGAGAAAGCTCACTTATTCTAACTTCTTCAGTCACTTGACTCTGTGAGTTTGTGGTAGAGGCATTCTTCTTCTTCTATCCTCTTATCTCTGTTGTGAGGGTAGTAGATGGTGGCCTCTGTCATATAAGAAATATATTAGTAATAACTATAGGTAAAATAAGAACTATTTAAATATACTTATAGCCTTGCAAGTTGATTTATTGTGACCAAGTTATTTACAAAAGCTACATGTTTGAGGTTTACTCCTCTTAGGGAGTTTTCCTAGTTGAGATGCTAGCAAGTTAAAGGGATAAGTTGCCTCTAATAAAAGGGGCCCTCTTGTCTATTTTGTGACCATCTTCCTTCTCCTAGTAAGCTCTTTTGTCCTCACCCTCTTTTTTTTATCTCCTTAGTAAATTAACTACTTTGAGTGGTTCCATTGAGAGAGTATTATCCAACTTCCAGAACCTCTTACCCCTAACAAGTTGTAGCTTTGTCCTATAGGTTTCAAGATATGTACTTCTATGGTAATACATCGATATGAGGCTAGATGCTTCAATTTTGGCATGGTATGTAGCAACAATTACATGTTGACATGGGACTCCAGTCAAGTCCCACGCCCTGTAAGTGCAAACCCTCCTTTTTAAAATTATTGTATGCCTATCATCACCCTCTGTGACCTCATACCCTTGGTCCCCATTAAAATGCACTTGACACCCCACCGCTAGCTCCTTATTACTCTTAAACAATTTCATACTTTTTGGACTGAATTCGCCTAACCACTTCTTAACATTACTCTCATTATCTGCCTACTTTTTCATCATCTTTACCCTAATGCTATCAAACATTCTAATAACTGGTTGAAACCTAAAATCATCTATACAAGCATTAAAAGACTCACTTAAATTATTATCAACAGCCCATAACTGAGATCTAGTGGAGAAGTACGCTCTTACCTAATATTGTGGGGGGTATGTAAGTAAAGACTCTGCAGCATCCTTACTCAATCCTCCAAGAGCCTTCAGGTTGTCCTTAAATTGCTCTTCATAAGTTGACCAAGCACAAGTGTAAAATTTCTTCCTCAACTCCATTCCCCTCTATCTTTTTGAACAGTTAGCATATACATGTCTTGCACAAAGTCTGTGTTCTGCTGCTGGAAGGACAGATTGCATTACTATGTTCAATCCCTATTTATGTGAAAAATAAATTGTTAATAAAGTTGAAATCTTAATGGACAAGAATAAATTTAAGTGAGTGTTCAAACCTTCTGCATGTCCGACATTAAAGTAATATGAGATCCATCACTGAGAACTAATGACTTTTGGAGCCATTGTAGGAACCATAACCAATTAACAGTGTTTTCTTTTCCAATCAAGCCAAATGCTAATGGGAAGAGGTAGTTATCAACATCTACAACAGTTGCAATGAGGAGGATCCTTTTTACATGCCCTTTCAAAAAGGTCCTATTAAGTCCTATGAGAGGCCT